TGTCTTCCTCAGTTTCCCCCTTGACTCGTCTAACTGGCACATTTACCACATGCCGTCTCACCACTTCTTTCACTCGTGTGACGTCACTTTCGACGAGTCTGTCTCCTTTTACCACCGCTTTCCCCACCGAGGTCTCACTGTTTCCCCGCCCCTGTTTCTGGTTCCCACTCCCCCATTTGCCCCTGCTCACCTCCCTCCCCGTCTTGCTCCGTCTGGTGTGTCTCACGTCACTCCCCTCTCGTCGGTTGTCGCGGTCGAGGAGTCGGCTAACTCTGGTGGCCCCGCGGTGCAGTTCTTGCCACCAGTGTCTACCCCAGTGTCTCCTCCTCCGCCGTCGCAATAGCCACCGTCGTCGCCGCTGCAGCAGCAGCAGCCGCAGTCGTCGTCGCAGCAGCAGCAACCGCCGCCGTCGCCGCCACAGCAATAGCCATCTGTGGACTCTAGAGGTGTGGGTGTTGAGGAGGGTGCTAGTCCTGGGGGTCCTGTCGTGGCTTGTCTCGGCGGTCCTGCGGGTGGCACCAGTGCTGGAGAGGGTTCTCGTTCTGGGGGTGCTGGTTCTAGGGGTGCTAGCTCTGGGGTTCCTGTCGTGGCTTGTCCCGGCGGTCTGGGGAGTGGCACCGATGCTGGAGAGGGTTCCCGTTCTGGGGGTGCTGGAGTGGAGCGTTTCGGAGGTAGCCATGGTACAGCTGGCGGTTCTAGTGTTGGCGTGGAGCAGCAGCAGTAGCACTCGTCGCCGGTGTCCGCCCTTCGCCTGCTCGGCCTTCCCTCCTCTAACCGCTCGCATGCGATTTCCCCACCGCCTCCTCCCCTTCCTGTCTACGGCCTTGTGTTTCCTCCATCAAACTCGTCCCCGGCTCATTTCCCCCCTCGTTCTCCTCCTGTGTCTCCTGAACCGACGCCTCCGTCCCACTTCTGGTCTCGTCGTCCCTCTCGTACTCGTCCTGTGTCTCTTGACCAGTGCTCTCACCCTATGTTGCTCCATTCCCATGCATCTCATCCTCCCCTCCTCCCCACGCCTCCTCCGTCATCGCTCGTTGTCGCTCCGCCTCCTCTCTCTGACTACCTGTGTGCCGCTCGTCATCTTGTTCCTTGGGTCCTTGCCTCCCTCGTTACCGACCCATCTGTTCCTGTTTCGAGTCTTAACACTCTTGTCGCTGCTCTCGCTGACTTCGCCTCCACCCGCCGCCTTGACTACGCCACAGCTCTGGTCTCTGGCCCTGCCTGCCCTCCGTCCATCGGGGTTGCTTCTGCCCTGGGCAGTGACATCCTAGAGGATACGCAGTTCGAGCTTGCTTTCCTTTCCGAGGCCGCTCCCCAACTCTGTTCCATGCTGCTGGTCCCTGAGGGTGACCCAGGCTCCCGTGATATCCCGACCCCTCGCACTTACGCTGAGGCGACCTGGGGACCCTGGACCTCTCAGTAACTAGTTGCCATGGAGCAGGATATGGCATCTTGGAGATCCATAGGCACCTATGCCGACGCAGTTCCCCCACCTGGGGTGAATGTAGTCGATGGCCGGTGGCTCTTCAAGGTGAAGCGCCCCCCTGGAGAGCCGCCTGTGTTCAAGACGCGCTACGTTGCTAGAGGCTTCAGTCAACGCGAGGGTATGGACTTCTTTCAGACCTTCGCTCCGACCCCGAAGATGCCTACTCTTCGGGTACTGCTACACGTTGCAGCACGGTGTGACTACGGCTGAGTTCTGCAGGCAAAAAAGGAAAGTGCAGTTTACATCGGAGCACCTTCCGAAAGCGAGAGATTTTGCCCGCAAATTTCCAAAAGCTTCGGATCGAGGGTCGGCCCGCAAATTTTCACCCAAACCTGGCACAACGTACCCGAACCTGGTTACATCGACATCCCTGCAGAACAGCTCCATCTACAGATTACATCTACGTCAGGGAAACACCCCCTTCGCTTCCCTCCCTGGCAAATCTGATGCAAACGTGACGCAACCCTGACGTTCGCTCAATCGCGGAGTTCACCTTGCGTCCGGCGTTACATCAGGCGCAAGGGTGTACTAGGCCTCCACACCCCAAAAATACAACAGCCACCACTTTAGCCCACCTCGCGTACCTGGGCCTGCCCTGCAAAAAAACAGCAGCTGAACAAACCCATCGCCAAAGAGAGTGCGCGTCTAGGAACCACAGTCCAAGCCGGAAAAAGTGCGCGTCATTTTGCCCCGTAATATATCTCTACTGCCCTGGGGCAGCAGTTTTTTGTTGCGCAATTTTGAAAATCTCTCCTCTCTCCTTTCGCTTGCGCTTTCCACAATTTGGCCGCGTGGCTTCCAAGCGAGGCTAGAAAAGTGCACCTGGTTTGGGTGGTAACCAGTGCTCTCGAAGTCGCTCTCTGGCTTCCTCAACGTCGACGTCGACGTCAATATCAAATGCCTGTAGAACTCAGCCTACGAGGTGCACTCCCCCGACATCTCCATGCGTTTCTCTAGGGTAGTCAACACGAGAAGATCTACCTGCGCTGTCTACAAGGCTTCACCGGTACCTTCCCTCCCGGGACCCAGTAGCTCCTCCGACGCTCGGTCTACGGCCTGCGATAGGCGCCTCGTGAGTGGCACGACACGTTGCGTGCTACGCTAGCTGACCTGCAGTTCTTCCCATCGTCTGCAGACCCCTTGCTCTTCGTTCGTGCTGGCCAGACCCCGTTCTACATCCTTGTCTACGTAGACGACCTGGTCTTCGCTACGTAGTTCACTTGGCCTCTGGTGCCAACATAGCTGATATCTTTGCTAAGGTTGCGCCTAAAAATCATCAGCGACACTGTTTGCAGCTTGGTCTAGTTCGAGTAGCTCCTCACGTGCTAGGACCTTGATTGTGTACTCCTCATTATATATTCCTTCTTGACTGGCCTTGTGACTTCTCTTCTAATGGCCGTACTAGTAGTGCCGCCCTGGTTTGCTCTTGTCGTGTTTGTACTCTTGCTGACTGGTCTTCGGACCCCTACCTCAGAGGTTGGACTAGTAGTGCCACCCTGAGTTGCGTGTTTCTTGCTCAGCACTATCCGTTATCTATCCTAGGGGGTGTGTTGACTTAAACATATGTTTATGTGTACAAGTTATAGGCTAGTATTCAAAGAGGGTACAAGTCCAACCCTATATCCTCCCCTGTACTACCTTGTTTCTATTCATTCTGCTATTCTAAGACTTCGTGCCGAGATATATCATATTGCTGGACTGGTTATTATGTTGCCAGTTGTTTAATATTTCTCACTAGTTCAATTCCATATTCTTTCTTCCTGCGCTTCATAAGGGTTTTACAATAATAAAACACCATCATTCATGCTGAATAAAGTTAAGAAGAAGAGCATACAAAACTACACACTACACACCTTGTTATTTCTTCGTTTTGTCCTAAGCTCCTATTCTGGATGGTTCTATTTGAATCTGCCGAAGGGCTGTGGTCCAATGACTGCTCGATGTTGCACACGTAACAGAGCGTAGAATCCAATAGGAACAAAGCACCCAGATCGCTGTAGGATGTGTCAAAGGGCACAGCGAATTGACGTTGCACACGTAAGAGAAGTACGATATGGGGGATGCATGGTCGCAGTTTTTTTTCCCGCGAACACGACGTGCACGACCTGAAGATGCGCACGACTGTGACGTGAACGTGAACACGACAGATCGTCTGTACGGTCTTGTACACCTGACACTTTGTTAGGCTGGGTACTCTTGTATCGGACACAAACAACTCTCGACACAAATGGTCTTTTAGGGCGTGGAACATACAGTTCCAAACTTCGAGAAGTTTGGACGGCGAGAGTGGTAAATTGAATTTCAAAACGTTTCCGACGTTTTAATAATAGATAACCACGTGGTACAATGTGGTGGAAGTTCGGAACTGTATGTTCCACGCCCTTACATCGCACAAGGGTTACCAGCGATGCTCTCCAAAAGGATTGGCCTACGTTGTTGTTTGTGTGAAATTGGTAACATGCACTGTACTGCAGCAATTTCCGGGCCTCATATTCTATTACCTGTTCTGTACTGTTCTGTAGTGTACTGTACCGTATTGCAATTCTTCCGGAGGCCAGATTGCGCATGATTGAGAGGCCTATACACCACCGTCCGTTTCCCGTATAATATTTCCAGTGGGACTGGCGATATTCCGATGGCCTTGGAAGGATGGGCGCTTGCCTGGGCATCAAGTGTAGTAAGGAAAGATTCCCTGCGCAACCACACTTCGCGACGCGACGTCCCCGGGACGACCACTAGGGCAAGTCTACAGCCGCTTCTGTAGTGAGGTGGTACAGTACGGTTTCTGCTGTTTACGGAGCTGTTCGAGAGAGAAACGACTAGGTGCCGCGACTAGCGTGCGACACCCGTCGATCCAACGCCAGGCCACTGCCCAAGAACAAGTCGGCAACGGAAGTCGGCAAGACTTCTGCGGCCCTGAAGAGTTCACATTTTCTTCTATTTACTCGATGTTTTGGCACGCGTCTTGAGCCTGTAAGCAGGAAACCGTAAAACACAGGCAATCGAGACCTTTAAGTGGAAATCCCACAGTAACCAGTGACACTTGGTTACAAAATCTCGCTCATGCACGAGATTAGTTTCCAGCGCGACGTCCTAGCTCTGAAACTCGTAATTGTCTAAATACAACTTGGCTGTTCGCTATCGTTCAGACTGCAGCCAATCAGGTTCAGTGTCAACGCGAGTCATGCTGAGAACCTGGTAGGTGAGATTGCAATTGGACTGTTCAAGGTGAGACAATAGAGGAGAAATGGTGTCCGTGAGATTTGCCATCGTACGTTTTATACGGTCCAGTTCGGTGCTCCAAGGTTTGGAGTTCGATAACCACTGGCAGTCTCAACATGCCGCGGCACCGTTCACCACCACACATGTTGCATGGGGGGCGCACACTTGGGACCTGCCCTAAATACTCACAATGAGCCCAAACCTGCCCGCGGGCTGCCCGCAGAACGATATGTTTACAACAAGTTTTCCTTCAAGTTGCACATTATTGGTTTGGCCACGGCTCCCTTCGTCTGTTCGCCCGTTCCCTAGTATTTTACACAACCAGAAAACAAACCATTCAGTGAGTGTGACGACTCCTCTCATTTAATCTCCTAGGCGCCTTACACCAGTCGCTCGCCATGGAGGAGGAGCAGGCCCCGCAGTGCGCGAGGGACAATGTTCTGCGCCGATCCGAAGTTCCGGACAAGAGCACGCCGAGCGTCCGCGGATACACGTTCGAAGCGGCAGGAGGGGCGGGGTCGGTGGAGGTGGACTACGAGCAGCTGATGGCGCGCATGCTGACCACGGGGTTCCAAGCCACGGCCCTGGGCCGGGCCATCGACGAAGTCAACCGCATGGTGCGACCGCGCTTGTAACGTCTGCGGACGTTGAAACGCAACCGCTGCGACTCTAAACAACACTCGTTTTACCTAGTGGTCTAGGGGACGAGATGTTACAGCGCTCCTCACGCTCGTATCATTGACCCTCGCCCCTACCTTCCTCACGTCCTGCATTATACCTGCCTCGTCTGGTTGCGGTCTAATATCTCCCCTCGTCTGACATCCGTTGTTTCTTTCCTGGTTTCTACTACTCATCACTCCACCCCCCCTTCCCCCTCTCTCCCCTTCCCGATCCCCCTTGTCCCCCCTTTCCTCCCCACCATTCCCGCCGCCCATACCTTATGTCCTCCTTAATCCCCAAGCCCTGAACCGCAATTTTCCCCTCAGCAGACGTGCTGGCGGATCGACGGTGCGCTCGGGGCACACAGCACGGAGGGGGAGCGGGACCCTGCCTTGTGCTGCGCCGTATCCCGGTCACATCACATCCCACTCCCACCTCCCCTCTCTCTTCCCCCTCCCCTGGCCAGCTGGCATGGCGTCTGAGCGACGACCCGCCCAAGGAGGACGACACGGAGGAGCAGAGAGACCCGGCGTTCCGGGCGTCCGTGCGGTGCAAGATCTTCCTGGGCTTCACGTCCAACCTCATGAGCTCGGGCATCCGCGAGACGCTCTGCTTCCTCGCCAAGCACCGCCTGGTACGCACGCTCGCCACCTCCAGAGCGCGCCGTCTTTCATGCACCTTAGCGCATCCCGCGCTAGCCGACCCGCTGCTAGGGGACCGCTCTCCAGGGGCGAGCTGCCCCTCCGGCCTCGGCTCAGGGCTGAGGGGCTGGTCGCTGTGCTTCCTGGTTAAGCAGACTGGTCGGTCCATACCACTGGTAGGGATACCAGGATCAGAAATACGGAGTAGATATACAGTAGGTACGGCATACGTACGTCTGCTACGGAGTAGCCTTGTTATACGAACAACTATACCTACAATATAGGAGAGATCCACATTTTTGTGAGGCACATGTCGGAAAAGGGCTTGTGAGAAGGAAACGAGGGGCCCTGGCTCTCAATGCTCGGCGCTTAAGCTCCTTAATCTACTGCATTGGTATTCCTCTTACTGCCATCCTCTATTTCGACGTATAACCAGCCATCCACCCGCCCACACACCCTTTCAGGTGGATGTGATCGTGACTACAGCGGGGGGCATAGAAGAGGACATCATCAAGTGCCTGGCGCCCACCCTGCTGGGCGACTTCGCCCTGCCGGGCAAGGACCTGCGAGCCAAGGGGCTGAACCGCATAGGCAACCTGCTGGTGCCCAACAACAACTACTGCCAGTTCGAAGACTGGGTGCTCCCCGTGCTCGACCGCTGCCTGGACGAGCAGAAGACGCAGGTGAGGGGGCGCCACAGCGGGAATACGCGAGAGGAGCAGAGGGAAAGATAAGGGGAGCAAAAAGGGTCTGGTGTGCGAAGCAGAATACGGTTTCTGACCTCCACAGGCAAGCTGCTGATGCCGAGTACATCAATCATGACCGTTTCTCTGCACATTGGCAGGATGATTCCTCCTCCCCTCGCCCCCCCCTCCCCGTTCCCCCTCCCCCGTGTTTATGGATGCCCTGATTTCTGAGTCCAACTCCACTCGAGATCCACATCTTCTCCCCCCTCCCTCGGTCGGCCCATGCACCAGGGCGTGGTGTGGACGCCGTCGAAGCTCATTGACCGCCTGGGCGAAACCATCAACAACGAGGAGTCGGTGCTGTACTGGGCGCACAAGGTCAGTGGCAGTGCCACCATGCTCGCCCAACGACACTCCAACCACTCCCACTCATAACCCAACCTCCCCTCACACCCTCCCCTTCTCCCCCCCCACACACGCACCGCTCACCTTCCCTTACCTACCTAGACTCCTAGACTCCCCCATCCTCAAGCATCGCATCACACGCCGTTCCTGTGAACGCAACTCATTCCGCCCTCCTCCTGACATGCTTCCTTGAGCGTTTTCCTTTTTCCGTCTCTATCCCTCCCCACCATCCTCCATCCTTCCATCGTCCCCCCTCCCTCGCTCCCTCCTCCCCCCCCCCCCCCCCCCCCCCCCGCGCAGAACGGCATCCCCGTGTTCTGTCCGGCCATCACGGACGGGTCGCTGGGCGACATGCTCTACTTCCACTCCTTCAAGTCGCCCGGCCTCCTCGTCGACCTTGTGCAAGGTCAGGCCTGCATTGGACTTGCCTTACTAGGTCAACACTTCTCTGCATCTGCACTTCCCATCCGCCTCGCAGCCCTTTCATTTGTTATTCCTGTGTTTCCTGGTCTACAGCTTCCCTCCTCTAACCACACCCACCTCTGCCCCACCCCATCCCCCCCGCCCTGATCCCCCAAACCCCCGCCCCCACCCCCTTCCTCCCCACCCCAACTCACCTCTCTCCCCCCCATCAACCCATGCAACTCCCACCATGCGACCCCCCCCCAGACGTGCGGCGGATGGACAACGAAGCGGTGCACGCGGCCCCGCGGCGCACGGGCGTGATCATCCTGGGGGGCGGGCTGCCGAAGCACCACATCTGCAACGCCAACATGATGCGCAACGGTGCGGACTACGCCGTCTACATCAACACAGCCAACGAGTTCGACGGCAGCGACTCGGGCGCCCGGCCCGACGAGGCAGTCAGCTGGGGGAAGATCCGGGTGGAGGCCAGCGCCGTCAAGGTGAGTTCCACGATGCGCACATGGAAGGGGGGTTCACGGCGTCTCATGGCATGGAACGGGGCCGACTATGCCCATAGACCACCAGCAAATAGAGGGGTGGTTCACAGTGTCTTCGCCCTCCCACTGCTGGTAGCCGAGACGTTTGCCTGGCATTAGCTTTCATGATCTCATTGCGTTGCGCGCCCTCTCATTCATGCACCAATGCCCGTGTCCAGGTGCATTGCGATGCCACCATCGCCTTCCCTCTGCTCGTAGCAGAGACATTTGCCCGGCACGTGCAGAGGGAGCAAGCAAAGCAGAAGCAGGAGAAATAGGGAACTGGCAGCAGGGCACCCAAGGGGTTGCAGCACCATTGGGCTCTTGCCACATGGATGCAGTCAAGGCGGCTGTAACCAGTCAGAAGTCCCTCGGAAGTTAGCACTTTTACCACGCTGATTTGTCTATTTTTTAGACAAGCTCCATGTTGTGGGCCTGATTTGCCACCTTTCTTTTCATAAGATTTCCCCTATTGCAGTGCACTCTGTTTGGTCAAACTACTCGCTAATGTGATGCCAACTGAAACTGTAACCTCCACAACTATCGTGATCACTACTGTGTCAACAAATATACCGTAATCCTTCTCATATAAGAGTGTGTTCCTACCAGCCTCTTATTGAAGTGAATGAATGACTAGAATAGAGACATACAAGGGAATATAACCTAATGGGTTGTACTCCCTAAGGCACAACCCTATATAGTCTATAACAATACACAATATATGTTTGACACACCCCCTGGACTGGATAGGGGCAGTGCCTGATGAGAGAGAAGTAACTCAAGGTGGCACTACTAGTCCAGCCTCTGAGGCAGGGGTCTAAAGACCAGTCAAACGAGTACAGACAAGGCAAGAGCAAGACCAGGGGGGCACTAGTAGTCCAGCCACTGGGAAGATGCCACAAGGCCAGTCAGGGAAATATATATAAAGGTCTATACACAATCAAGGTCCTAGCAAGTGAGAGGCTACATGAACAAGACCCAGCTGTACACAGTGCCGCTGATGATCTTTAGACGCAAGCGCCTTACTAAAGATATCAGCTGTGTTGGCACCGGCGGCCAAGTGTACTACGCGAGCCTGGCGACGCTGCTGCAGCTCGTGCAAGAGGAAGTACCGCAGCTGGATGTGCTTCGCTCTGCCCTTAAGTCGTGGCTCCTGACACAGGAGGATCATGGCCCTGTTGTCAGCATACAGAACCGGGGCAGAGCTAGGCCGCTCACCCAGGTCGGTGAGCAAGAAGGTCAGCCAGCGGAGCTCCTGTGCTACCATGGCACCAGCGCAGATCTCATCCTCACAGCTAGACTGGCCAACAGACGAGGAGCGGGTGGACCTCCATGAGATGGCACCTGCACCAAGGCTAAAGCAGTAGCCCGGTGAGGACGTGAGAGTCTCGGCGTCGTCTGCCCAAGAAGCGTCTGAGTGCCCGGTAAGGACTACTGGTCTACGTCCTCCTAGCACTAGCCCCATGCCCGATGTACTTGCTAGATAACACAAAACCCTCTTAGCTGCCGACCACTGCTGTGGTCGGTGTCTGCCGGGGGCCACAAAGCGAGCCAGAATGCTGAGAGGGTATGCGAGATCTGGACGAGTGCAAGTCATCAGGTACATGAGGCAACCCACCAGCTCTGCGTAAGGACCACTGGGCTCCGCTGACTCCTCGGGAACTGGAGCTGAGAGCATGTGGTCTACTGGGAGAGGTGTGGGCTGTGCGGAGAAGATCTGAAGACCGAACCTCTGAAGGACTTGGCGCACCAAGTGTGGCTGTAAGAGAGTGATGGTGCGCGCTGCTCTGTCCCTGGAGATCTGCAAGCCACGGTAGCGACGCAGCTCTCCTAGGTCAGTGCAGGTGTGTCTCTTCAGCAGCTCCGCCTTCGGAGGCCAGTGCGTCTCTGTCTGCAGTTGCAAAGACCAGGTCGTCTACGTAGACAAGAATGTAGAACGGACTCTGGCGGTAATAGACGAAGAGTGAGGGGTCTGCAGACGAAGGGAAGAACTGCAAGTCAGAAAGTGTAGCACGCATCGTATCGTGCCACTTATTGGGTGCCTGTCGCAAGCCATAGACGGGGCGCCAGAGGAGCCACTCGGTGCCAGGGGGAAGGTACCGGAGAAGCCCTGGGGGTGGCGCAAATAGACCTGCTCATGTAGACAGCCCTGGAGGAAAGCTGTGGAGAAGTCGAGGGAGTGCAGCTCGTAGTCACGGTGTGCTGCTACGTGTAGTAGTGTCCGAAGAGTAGTCATCTTCGGGGTCGGAGCGAAGGTCTGAAAGAAGTCCACCCCCTTGCGCTGACTCAAGCCTCAAACAACGTAGCGCGCCTTGAAGACAGGCGGCTCTCCAGGAGGGCGCTTCACCTTGAAGAGCCACCGACCATCGACTACATTCACCCCAGGTGGGGGAATTGCGTCGACAAAGGTACCGGTGGCTCTCCAAGATGCCATCTCCTGTTCCATGGCAACATTCTACTGAGAGGCCCAGGGTCCCTGAGGTGGCCTCAGCGTAGGTGCGAGGGGTCGGGATGGCAAGGGCGTTTGGGTCAACCTCAGGGACTAGGAGCATGGAACAGAGATGGGGAGCGGCCTCAGTCAGGATAGCGAGCTCGAACTGCCTGTCCTTTAGGATGTCACTGCCAAGAGCAGCCACACCCTCGACGGTTGGAGTGCAGGCAGGGTCAGAGACCAGAGCAGTGGCGTAGTCCAGGCGGCGAGTAGCGGCGAAGTCATTGACAGCAGCGACAAGAGCTGACAGACTCGAGACCGGAACGGACGGGTCGGTAACGAGAGAGGCAAGGACACGAGGAACAAGGGGATGTGCAGCACGGAGGAAGTCCGAGAACGGAGGTGGGGCCACAGCAAGTGACGACGGTGGAGGAGACGGAAGGAGAGGAGGAGCACGAGACGCGTGGGAGCGAAGCAACATAGCGTGAGAACGCGGAGCAGGGGAGGTAGGACGAGTACGAGAGGGACGACGAGACCAGACGTGAGATGGAGGAGTCGGGTCAGGAGAGAGGGGAGGAAATGGGGTGCACCGGCATGGATTATGGAGGTACGAGCCACCTCCATGACCAAACCGATGCATCGCTCAGCGACCCCATTCTGCTGCGGGGAGTTCGGCAGGGTGAACGTCTGGGTGATGCCCTCCGCACGACAGAAGCGACCAAGGCAGCCAGAGGCAAACTTGCCACCATGGTCGCAAGACAGGGAGACCTCGGTGCACACGCACAGAGACAAGCCACGGGAGAAGAACGTCAGGCACGTTGGCCTTCCGCTCCAGGGGAAACAAGGTGGTGTAGCGTGTGTAGTCGTCGACAAGCACTAGGAAGTAACGCTCTCGACGCGGCCCATGGATAGGGCCGGGGCCCCAGACGTCCATGTGCAGGGTCTGCAGCAGTGCAGATGTGGGGGGGAACGAGGAGGAGTGAGGGGCACGGCGGAGCCGGCCCTCGACGCAGGGCGTGCACGAAGGCGCGGGTGAGGAGGGGAGCGCAAGGAATGACTCAGGGAGACCTAGGACCAGACGGTGCTGGGACATGTGACGGAGATGGGTGAGAGTGGGGTGACCTAGACGGTTGTGCCACAGAAGCGACGGGTGGGTAAGCGACCGACACGAGCACGCCGCAGCAACCTGGGATGACGCTGCAACCGGGGGAGGCGTCCCAACCGGGGGGGACGCGGTGTTTAGTGTGAACTGGCCAGACACTGGATCCCGAGAGAACGTGGCGGGGGGGGCACCAATGGCGGCCTCAGTACAGACAACATACCGCTCGTGCCTAGGAAACGTAGTGGTGACGCCAAGGTCCTGGAGGCAGCTGACACCACCTAGGTTACTAGAGAACGAGGAAATGTGCAGCCCGAGGGAACCGCCAGACAGGGGAGAGTAGTGGAGCTACGGGCAACTACCGGACCAGACGAAGGGTATGCAAGAGCAATTGCAACGCGAGCGGCAAGCGGTGTAAGTGTTGTGGAGTCGCGAAAAAAACACCGGGAAGCCCCGGAGTCCAAGGTGAGGGAGAGCGCGTCACCGGCGACAGAGGTCGAAGAAGCGAGGGAGGACCCTAGGCTAAACAAGACGGGGGATCCTATGCCTAACGCAGCAGGGGAGCCTGAACTAGGCACACTGGGCACACCCCCACTAGGCAACACAGAGTAATAGGAACCAGTCGCACTAGAGTCATCGACATACAGTACATACAAAGCAGAGCTAATCTCATCCATGTCCATATCAAAGATCTTAACACCACGACAGAGCAGACTGTGCCAGTCGGGGAGGTCAGGCGACGGGCCGAAGCGGAGACGAAACAGGTCGTCGAGGAGACAGAAGCAACGAGTGGGGGTATGGCCAATCTTACCTCACACGAGGCCGCGACGAGGACCGGCCTGGAGCTGGTACTAGCAGTGCCCGTCACTCTGACCACCACCCGACGGCACTTTGCACGCACGACCACTGCGACCACCGTCCTCGCCGGCTCCAGGCCACCCGGGGGGGAGACTGCCAACCCGCCGCTGCTGCTGCTGCTGCTGCTGCTGCTGCTGCTGCGGCAGCTGCTGCTGCTACTGCTGCTGCGGATGCTGCGGCTGCTGCTGCTTCTGGTCCAGCGACGGCGCCTGCTGCTGCTGCTGCTGCTGCTGGGGCTGCTGCTCTGAGGCACCAGCCCCAGCCCCCTCATCAGTTTTACCAGCGGGGGAGCCACCTCAACCACCTGCACCACCCCCTCCTCCGCTACCTCCGCCGCGCCCAGCCTTGGGGCGGCGACCCTTACCTAGACGAAACTGCACTGCGGCGGCTGTCTCCGCATCCGAAGCTGTCTCAGCAACTGTAGCAGAACCATCGGAGTAAGCGCACTGAGCAAGGCACTGTCCTGAAAGATAGAGACTGGCACGGTACCACTAGACTGGGCAATAGAGCGCTGACGAGCTTTACGGCAGAGAGGGGGTCAAAAAAGTCAGTGAGGGTGAGGTCCGCGGGGTGGAGACTAAGGAAGTGATTGCGGGCGGTGGCAAGGCGGTCAGGGAGGCGGGTGGCAAGTAGGTAGAGGGTAGAGCAGATGGGGGGCTGAAACACACAAAGCTGGGCCTCAGTGCAGGCAGCGCGCCAGGTCGTATCTAGCGTGCACAGATGGGCGGCTAAGTCAGCGACAGTAGGGAAAGACGCGAGATCAGGAAAGAGCATGGGCAGGATCAGACGGCCTACGGAGGCAGAGGGCGGGGTGGAATAGCGTGCAACAACAGCCTCTAGAAACTCCTGCACAGTCCTAACCGACCTAAAGCGGGGGCGCTCGGACAGGGGGAGGGCATGACTAATCGCAAGCAGGGCGACAGCGTCACATGACAACCAGACAGCACGAGCAAGGGCAGCAGCGGCAGCGGACTCACGGTCAGCAGACGTGGGGTCAGCGGGAGAGCAGCAGGGGGGTTCGGGCAGGATAGCGTACCGTCGATGTGGACGGCCAGGGAGTGGCCGTCCTGTCGCTGACCAATCAGGTGTCGTTGGAGGTCGACGAGCCACGAATCGAACTCAATCGGCTGCCCCTCCGCACATGCG